AAAAAAAAAAAAAAACAAAGTGTACACATAGAACGTACTGTCTTATCTTTGGCGCTGAAAACACACGGATGTGTTGCTGCTGGTGATGATGATGATGATAATGATGGTGGGAGGCTTCGGGTTAGTGTTTGAGACTGGCCACAAAGACTTTTGGGAATGGTGTAGCTGGTCGGACTGGAGTTCAATTCCTCAATTCTTCACATGAAGCCAGAACTGGTTTTGGGGGTGGGAATGCAGCAAGGTGGTGAGAATCGGTTCGACGGCAAGCAGGTTTCAGACACACAATCACAATTGAATCATTTGAACAACCGCAGATTTGAGAAAAAGAGGTCCCCGAAAGCCTCGCGAGTGTTTGCGCTTCAGAAACTTCAGAAACAGTTTTAATGGTCGCAAACAGTCGTTCTTGTCATCATCAAAATTTTTAACATGGATAAAATTTCTTGGAGACAAGAACAACTGTTTGGGAACGTTAAAAGTCTTTGCAAAAACTTTTGCTCAGTGTGTTCGCCACTCAGTCAGATACTCCCAAGAAGAGTTTCCCAATTTTTCAGCTCAGCACGAATCATCATTTCGCAAAGCAGTGCTTTTGCCGCCATCTGGTGGCAGTCCGGGGAATTTGAAAGGGCACGAAACCTGAGAAAGAAGGGTTTTGAAAAAGCTCATCTTCCTTACTTTTTGCGATCTTTGTCCTTCTTGCCGTTGGCGGTGAGGCTTTGGGCCTGCAGCAGCTGAGCGGCGGCGCGCCTCTTGCCGAAGGAGCTCTGGTCTTCCTCCAGGAGGCGCCGCTTCTCCTCCAGAGCCGACTTCTCCTCGGCGTGGAGGCGCTTCAGCTGCTCGAAGCGGCTTTGCAACTGGAATGTGGAAAAAAGGGAAACCAGGAGGATGCGAGGAGGAAAAAGAAAAATCTGTTTTGAACGAATTTTTGTTTCACCTAAACACCATTTTTGTACCCTTTTTTTCCGAGAAACAAAATCAATTCACATTTTTTTTCTTTACTGAAAAATCCTGATCTGTCTGTAAACATGAGCTGAAGAATCAACTCATGGATCATATGGCAGCAGCTCCTGACCTCTCTCTCTGCATCCTTAAGCTCCGCCTCCTTCTCCTTGACCCTCTGCACAAACATCTGCCTCATCTCGTCCTCTCTCCTCTGCAACTCCACCAGGAACTCCTGACGCTTGGCTTCGTAGGTCTGCTGCAGACTGCGCGCACGCACACGCGGGCGTTACCACACGCGCCCGCTTTATTAGGCACGCCCGGACCCAGGCCGCGACGGTGGTCACCTGACGGGCTTGCACTCGGGGTCGGTGTCCTTGAAGCCCATCTCCTCCAGCTTGCAGCGTCGGTACAGCTCGTAGTGGCGCGTGTGCGTCTGCTCCCTCAGGTCCTCCATGTTGACGCAGATCAGCATCTCCCGAAGCTTCACAAAGTCGCAGTGGCTCTCGTTCTCCACTACGGAGAGACGTTTTTAAACGTCTTTTCAGACTTGATCCAGAATTGGCTGGTACTGAATGAGCTCATGAATTTTCGACAGATGCCACAAAATGGTGGCAAAGCTCTACTTTTTTTACTCCTTTTAGACAACTGCCTGTCTACAAGAAGCTCCTCCCGTCACATCAACCTAGTTACTTGATACCAACACGGGATCAAAGCGCTATTTTTAATTTTTTTTTTCATCAATAACTGCTTCAAACAACAAAGAGTATGCAGAAAAGTGGTGAATTTGAATGTCTGTCTGTGTCTTATGTGTTGTGTTTTATTATTTTGTTATTATGTTATTCTGACTTTGAGATGGCGCCGCGAGAGTGGCTGCCTTGACAGCAGCTCCTCGACTTTTTGTTCTTCTACGGTCTCCCTTTCATAACTTTGATGCTGTAAATTGGGAATTTCTCCATTGTGAGACGAATAAAGGTTTTCTTATTCTTTAGTATATTAGACAGGGCTTTGGCCTGAGTTCTAATAAAGAGTGAAAATATGAGGTTTAAAGTGAAGAACGGAGGAGAGGTTGGAAAATTAATCTGCCAATATTTGAATCCGCGAGTGGAACGGCAACTATTTGGGGTGAAGGTAGAAAATGTAACATGTCGCGAACCGAAGACCCCCTGTGCAGTCGTGACTCACATTGTGGTCGCCTAGCAAACCCACCTTGGACGACCCCCCAGGGGTACTGACGAGCCTTCACCATCTTGTTGGCCACGGCCACTTCTTCCGTGCTGCCCACCACGGCAAAAGGCAGATGGCCCTACACAGGAGCCGCAAAAAATAAATAAAAGAGAGTGACTGCGGAGCTCGTGAGGCCGATGGAGGAGCCCGTCCTAACGGGCGCTTACGTTCATGGCCGTGTTGACCTTGGCGACGGCCTCGTCGTCCAGGGGGAACTGGTAGATCTGGACGCCGTTGCTCACCAACTCGCTCATGATTTTGATCTTGAACTTGTGCAGCTCGCTCTTACTGATCGTGTCTGCTTTGGCGATGACGGGGATGATGTTTACCTACGCGGTGACATCACAGTTCAAATGAATTTTAATAGGATTAAACACACGGTCGGTACACCGCAACTCCCAACATGGCGTTTCATCTCGACGGTGTGCGATGTTTACACGTTTTCTTCTGCATCGTTGAAAAGTTGTGGCGTCAATGTTGTGGAGCTATAAGTTGCACTGAGGTTAACATTTTAATGTTTGAGGCTGCTCAATATTCCATTAAAGAGGCTGACTCCGTAAGAGGAAACTTAAGAAAATATCACCAAGAGGGCAAGCACATCAACGATGAGTTCCGATGTTATTTGTGGCTCAGCAGCCCACTTTGCCGTCCGAGCCACCCCACATTCCTGACTGTCTGCGTGCACGCGCGCGTGCGCGTGTGAGTGTGTGTCAAAAAACAGGAATGTTTTTCTGCTCGAGCTTCAGTGTCAGACACCCCCACACCCCCAAAAGAAGAAAAAAAAATTGTTGGCAGCGCACAAAACAAAACAAGCTGCGTAGCTGACTATCCCTTCACCAACAAATGTTTCCCTCTCCGCCTATCTGTCTGTACAGTGACACAAAAGGACAGCTCGAGTGTGTGCGTGTGCCTGTGTAGCGACATTCCAGCGCTTTTTCGTGTGTGTGTGTGTGTGTGTGTGTGTGTGTGTGTGTGTGTGTGTGTGTGTGTGTGTGAGAGAGACTCTTTTCACACGCAAATCCTGAGTTGCTGGCACTTCCTGACAGTGACACACAAGAGAGCATGGGAAAGGTTGTGACCACCTCCGCATTAATGGGGTGGGCCTCTCTCGCCACCTCATGATTTGATGACGGTTCAGGGCGGGGGGAGGGGGGCCAACAATTCGTTTCGAGGACCAATGCATCTCCGTAGTACAAATGAATGTATTCCTTAAATGCAAGACACATGAGTGTCTTGACCACTTGGCGTGAATGAATGTGTGTGATTAAAACCGTGATGGGGCCTGACTCAAACATTCACTTGAAAATGAATTACCAACGCCATTATCTTAGATGTTTTTCCAATACACAGAATTGAAATATTACTTTGGCTTTCTACAGTAATGGAAAAAAAATATTAGCAAATGCTGCTTCCGTTTTGTTTCAATTAAAGGTAATGGAAGTACACTTAATTTATACTCATCGTACAAATTTGGGTCACTGCTAGCAGTTTTTAAAGCCGTGGGTAATCGCAGTAAGAATAAATATACATTCACAGAAAATAATACATAATCGATTAAAAAGAGCCCTCTAAATTGTAATAGAATCGAATTGTGAGGTGGCGAGAGATTCCCCCACAGTGCAATTCAGTCCACTATCCTTCCAGTGAGCTTCTAAAGGCAAAATAAATAACAATAATTTTGCAGCTACTTGCATGACTGTAAGATGACTATGAGACTGCAAAAAAATTCAACCACAGTGGCTCACACTCACAAAAAAATAAAAGAAATAAGTAATACGCTGCAATGAAAATAGCTTGGGGTGCAGAGAATTGCTAAAATAATCCCTCTCCTTGTACATTGACCCCTTCATTTTGCTAAGAAACATCAACCCAGTCACAGCATTGATTATTTGAGATACTCCCAAGGGCTGAAGAGTCCAGTTATTTGCTCAGTGCAATTATCTTGTCGCCTGCAAATTACTCCATGCGTCAGAAAAGTGTCAACCTTCAAACCATATAAACCAGACTACCTTCTTACCTTGCTGTCCAGTTTCTTCATGGTAACCAGGTCCAGGGACTTGAGGGAGTGGCCCGAGGGGGAGATGAAATACAGACAGGCGTGGACCCGCGAGTCGTGGTAGTTGAAAAGGGAGCGCCTGATTTTGAGTTCCTCCTGCAGGTAACTCTCAAACTGCCGGTCGATATAGTCCACCACCGGCTGATAGCTGCAAGACAGACGGACGATGGTTAACGGTGACGTCGCAAATCACACGCTCGCTCGTTGGCTCGCTCTGACCTCTCCTGTTTGTTCATTTGGTCTCCGAATCCCACCGTGTTAACCACGGTGAGGCGCAGTCGCACGTTACTCTCCTGCAGGTCGTAGGTTTGAGCCCGCAGCTGCACCTCAGGCTCAAAGTGAGACGACTCAAAGTTTTCAAAGTTGGTGCTGAACAGAGTGTCCATCAGGGTGGACTTGCCGATACCAGTTTCACCTGAAGACAGATAAGACAGACCGTCAAAATAGTAAAATAAATGTCTTTTTTTCCCTGAACATGTTTTCCTTCACAGGCCATTGTCAAAACATTTAGATGTTTTCTTCTGCTGCGCTCCATATTACACAGAAACATAAATTTCTATTTAAACTCCAGAGTCAAAAGCAGAAACTTTTTAAGATGTGGCAGATGTATTCATTCAAACCGGTGATTAAAAGGGGCATGCAATGACTACATTCGTTGAAATACAGTAATTCACAATTGTATTTCAAGGCCAGGAGTTGGACTGAAAAACGGGATGATGACAGTGGAAGAGGCCCATGGTTTAATAGGATTACAGTTTCCTCCAAATGTGACCTTATTTGG